ACGTGATCCACCCGAGCCTCAGCTCAGGCTCAGTGGGTTCCTCACAGGTTCAGTTCAGTCTCAGTGTTCAGAAGTACATAATTAAGAATCACCTTATATACACAAACTTTACAGCGACGAGGAGATGTAACGAAAATAGAAAGGACAGTACAGTATGATTACACAGAATAACTTGACGACACTTCGCTCAAACCGGAGTTAAGAACATTATCCAGGATATGTTTATATTCGGAACTAATCGATAATAATAAATAATAATAGTAATAAAGAATAATAACATTTCCTGGAAAATATACAGTTGTTTGATATAAATTTTTACTCAATTGAAAATCTCTTCACTAATATAAACATACGGTTATAAAAGAATACCATTTCAAAAGCAAACTAATCATATTTTAGGCTTGAAAATAAAACTTACCTTGAAATTGGGCTTCAACTTACTTGTTGTCTTCGTCACATTTTGTTTGTACATATTACTGCCTATCTACTTGCTTATTTATTTGGTATATGGATTTATCAATGAAACCCAAAAATCGTGGGACCGACTATTCCCCGTGTTCGAGAATAGAACCATTACTAACTGATATGTTCGTTCCCACACGTTATTTGGCTAATGGTAGTCACCTCTCAGACTGGTAGTAGTCGGCCCCTACGATGTTTAATAATATCCCTTACAAATTTACTATGAGTTCATTTCTAGTTGGGGTCTTTCGTGTACCGATGAATCGGTACGTTTTACTGTGTAAGACGTATAATTCATGCGGTACACACAAAGCACATTAGGAGCCGGGACTAGCAATAAATATACTAATCTCTAGTGGTTAATGAGACTACTATCACAGTTCTGTGGGATATACAGCACTTGAGCTAGGGAATCTCATTACACAATCGCCTCCGGAAGAGGAGTTAGGTAAAGGTAAATTGCTCGTAAAACGCGCCGACGGAGGAAGGGGTACAGGCTTCGTTTTTACACACTTTTCGTATGCGTACTACGCGCCAACCCAGAGGTCTGTATGAGAAATCTGACCTTATGCCGCCCCGTTGTCATGCACTTGAGCGGATTCGTCCAACGTGTGCGGTCCTGTCCTCATGTAGACTGAGTTTTGTTTTTTGAACGAGCTTAGGCTCTGGTCAGCCTCCGTAGGTTACATGGTTCGACCAGCCTCAGTAGCACCCGCTTTTTAAGGTGCTCAGTCTAAGTCTTCAGTAGCACGCCTCTTAAGTTGCTCAGACTGCAAGCTCCAGGCGCAGTTAGGCTCAGCGCTCAGGCTTCGCTCAGGCTCAGGTCCCTGAGCCTCATCCGGATGAGGAGAGACCGAATTTTTGACTACTTTTCGTTGTGGACTGTTACAAGTGATGGTTTATAATACTAATTGTCATTTGAACACAGGTTACTTGACATGGTCCGTTACTTGGAGCCATAAATTTTTGTCACGACCTGGACTGGTGAGGGTAGTGGAGGTACAAGAGACCCCGACGGAAGTTGTGGTCCGTAGATAATTTCAGAAAGACCCTGTTGTCGACTTCCCTCCTTAGAGGATTTTTCAGGAAAGAGTTCAAACCTCAAGTTTATAAAAATTTAAAAACCGACGTTATTCAGACGGTACAAAAACTTCGTAGGTGACCTTTCCATAGGAAATCTCCTGTGACATACATGAAAGACTCACGGGGTCCTGGACACGCCGACGGTATGACGTTGCAAGTAGGGCCTGTAGTGCGCAGTCGGTACGCACAGTGGTCCTACCATCAATGTCGACTCTGACTGCACGTCACCCGGGAAATAGTCACTAGTGATAGCCGTTAACCGACTCACAAAAAATTCTAACATCTTTCGAGTCCTGTATTGTAGACCACACAATCAAGCGTGCTGATAACTATCGAAATCTGGTTGTAGTAATGTATTTACGGTTCGTGTATGTGTATTTCGTGTTCTTTCCGTACCAATAATTAAAGTAAATGTTTTGAGTAGTTATTATGACGAGCCAAGTCCGAATCACCTAAGAAGAATTCCAAGTCCACAAGTCTTCATGTATTAATCTTCGTGGATATATATGTGTTGAAATGTCGCTGCTCCTCTACATTGCTTTTATCCTGTCATGTTATACTAATCTGTCTATTGAACTGCTGTGAAGCGAGTTTGGCTACAATTCTTGTAATAGGTCCTATACAAATATAAAGCTTATTACTATTATTATTATTATTATCATTATTTTTATTATTGTAAAGGACCTTTTAATATGTCCAACTATATTTAAAATGAGTTAACTTTTAGAGAAGTGATTATATTTGTATGCCAATATTTTCTTATGGTAAAGTTTTCGTTTTGATAGTACTATTAAAATCGCGAACTTTTTTTTTGAAGGAAACTTTAACCCGAAGTTGAATGAACAACCAGAGCAGTGTAAACAAACATGTATAATGACGGATAGATGACGAATAAATTAACATATACTAAATAGTTACATTGGGTTTTTAGCACCTGGCTGATAAGGGCACAAGCTCTTACGTTGGTAATGATTGTATACAAGCAAGGGTGTGCAATAAACCGATACCATCAGTTGGAGAGTCTGACCATCATTCAGCCGGGGATGCTACAATTATTATAGGGAATGTTTAAATGATATCAATAAAGATCAAACCCCAGAAAGCACATGGCTACTTAGCATGCAAAATGACACATTCTGCATATTAAGTAGCCATGTGTTTTCGTGTTATCGGCTGAATCTTTATTTATTGATTAGATCACATTACTCTGATGATAGTGTTCAAGACACCCTATATGTCTGAACTCGATCCTTAGAGTAATGTGTTACGGAGCCTTCTCCTCAATCATTTTCCATTTAACGAGCATTTTGCGCTGCTCTTTCCCAATGTCGAAGCAAAATGTGTGAAAGCATACAGCATGATGCGGGTTGGGTCTCCAGACATCTTTAGACTGGAATAGCGGGGCACAGTACGTGAACTCGCCTAGCAGGTGCACACGCCAGGACAGAGTACATCTGACTCAAAACAAAACTTGCTCGAATCCGAGACCAAGTCGGAGCATCAATGTACAAGCTGGGTCCGAGTCATCGTGGGTGAAAAATTCACGAGTCAGATTCAGAGTCATCGTGCGCGAGAATTCACGAGTCTGAGTTCGAGTCCGCGTCAATCAGTGCGCGAGTCCGAGTCGAGTCCGAGTCCAGGACTCGAGTAGGCCTACTCCATCTCTGGCTTAAAAACTGATGAAAAGCAACAACCTGACATGTTCCACTAAAATATATGATTAACAGTAAACTTGTGTCCAACTTGACTGTACAGGCAATGAACTCGGTATTTAAAACAGTGCTGGACCTGACCTATCCCATCACCTCCATGTTCTCTGGGGCTGCCTTCAACACCAGCATCTATAAAGTCTTTCTGGACAAACAAGCTGAGGTGAGGAATCTCCTAAAAAGTCTTTCTCAAGTTTGGAGTTCAAATATTTTTAAATGTTTTGCTGCAGTAAGGTCTGCCATGTTTTTGAAGCAGTCACTGGAAAAAGGTACCTTTAGGACACTGTAGTACTTTCTATGCCCCCAGGACCTGTGGCTGCCATACTTCAACGTCACCACTGACATCACGGCCTCAGCCATGCGTGTCCACCAGGATGGTAAGTTACAGCTGAGCTGACTGCAGTGGCCGCTTTATCAGATCACTATCGCCATTGGCTGAGTGTTTTTTTAAGATTTAGATAAGCTCAGGACATAACATCTGTGTGTTAGTTCGCACACTATTTGATAGCTTTAGACCAACATACATTACATAAATGCCAGCACATACACATAAACACAAGAAAGGATGTTATTAATTTCATTTAACAAAACTCAATCAATAATACTGCTCTCTATGACGGAAAACTAATTTCTGAAATTGGTATTGTCATCAATTCCTGTATCAAAAATAATTAAGCATTGAATAATGCTGGCAGCAGACAGTCAAGAGTAAAATGGCAACCTAACTAAAGTTATTTTCTAAGTGAATGTAATGCTATGCTATTGCACTCAAATGTTAGTGACACTAGCCCTTTTGCATTTCATATATTTATACAATAAGTCTCTAAATATTCTAGGCGAAAATGTGTGTAATAGTTTATGCTTCATCTCGAGTGACTGCATGCTCTCTGATTTATGGTTTAAGGCGGGTGTACTTCGAGCTAAATTGAAGTTGTTGCATTATAAAACTGCTGCTAAATAGTTACTAGGATTCCTTATGCGTTTGTGTAATAGTTTCCTCACCGACTGGAGGACTTTGCGTCTTGTTGGATATAGACAATATTAAGTTCCACACAACAGTGTAAAAATGTTCTCAAATTCAATGACTACAATCCAAAAACACAAGGCTCAGAGATCATTTTTAAAAGCAGCAGCCATTTAAATCATATTATAGATGATTTACAAGCAATAATGTGTTATTGACTGGGGAAATAAACATACTAGGTTTCTTTAACCAACATGAAAACACTGCAGTCATCAAAGCCAAATGAATTCTTCATTTTTAGTAACAAAGCCCCTTTTTTAGTCTCCATAAACCTGCCAGTTTCAATCTTGTTTGGAGTACACCACGGCCAAGGGCTGAGACAGATTTGACTTAATAAGTGCAAAAGAAAACACTTTCTAGATGTTTCTATGCTGGTGACTGTATTTAATGATATAATTGCAAATGTATTCTGTTTGACTTGAGTAAATGCACCATCCCTAACATTAGCTGAAGCCTGGAAGACCTCCCTAACAACCCTGCAAATCCAGTTTGCCATTTTTCTATGCCATTTAACTTTTCAGTCAAATCATTTAATGCTACCACTGTCATGTACAGTACGTTGCATCAACTTAAGACATAGCGAGTCTTAAGGCAACGTTCTAAATTATTATAATTTAGGCTGGTGACTGGATTTGAGGGGTTTTCTTATGTTAGCATCTTGTCATGTGTTTGAAATAACTGCTGGAGCAAAGCTTCTTCTCTCTAAATCCTTTTTCCTATCATTACTTTTCCAATCTTTTACAGCATAGTTTCCTCCCCTTTATCTCTTTGGTTTCTCCTTTTATTTTAGTTCACTCTTTCTTTCGTTGTCTATTTGTTCTTTTAATTTTCCAATTTTTAACCATCTTTCAAACTGTTTTTATATCTAGAATTTGTATTTTCTGTCTCTATTAAACTTCTCTTCTTTCTTAGCAACTTCCTGCCTTTTCATACACTAAATTCATATAACTGTAGATTTTTTATAGTTTATTTATCTCCCACATTTGAGTCTAAAACTCCCTGATTATGCCCTTTGATTATAATCCTGACATCCGGTCTTTGTGCACATAGAGATATCACAGATCTGTCCATCCGTAGGTAACTTCATAGACAAATAACTTGTGTAGTTGCTGACCCCAGAAACGCTGACTCGTCTCCCATGTCCATATCAACATGTAGGATCCAGAACACTCCCCCCTGCTTCCCCCTCATGACTCCCTATGACCTCCCATTTTGCTTCTATCATTCATCATAATTCTGGGCTTTCTGTAGTTTTTCTGGTGTGCTTTTGTCAAACATAGCTAGCTTGATGCTAACCTGAATGTATCACTTGCGCTCCTGTTTGAATTACATCTTGTATCCAGAGAGAAAAACAAATAACACTAATATCTGAGAAAACTTAAGATTAAACACAAATCAGGAATATTTCCGGTAAAACCTTTTCCAGTTTCACCTGCAGTTTTCACTTCAGTCTACAGTCTGGAGTATTTAGTTAAACGGTAAACAGCTCTTCCTGATATCACGGACTCTCTCTCAGTCTTTCTCCCTCTTTTGCCTCTCTCGTTGCCTGTCTCTCACTCTCTGCCTGTCTTCCTCCCACCTTGCTTGAAGAACTCGTCATCTAACAACACTAATACTACTTTTTATATGCCTAATGAACACATCAAAACTAAAACTTGCATTACTGTTTTTGGGTTGTAAATCTGATTTACATAGATCTCGTTTCATTTATCCGACGTATTTGATATCATTCATATCACAGACTGTTTATGTATACTTAGTTTAAGTTGTGTTGTTATTGTGTTTATTATTTCGGTATCTTGTCATCATTCTGAACAAAGTCCATTATACTTCCTTATCAGCCTTTGAAAGGTTATAATTAATTGGCCTAGAGTATGCTTTTATTTAAAATTGGCCTCTTAACAGAACGTTTTGTTAGATAGCACAGGCAGAAGTAAATTATTTTTGTTGACATTGTATTCCCCCTCCTCTCTGTTTTGCTCCTTGCAACCTCTTTCACTTTACTTCTCTTTGTTGCGGGCGTTTCTTACTCTAAATCTTTCTCTCTCTACCTTTACTCTCTTTCTCAGCATTCTTCTCTCTCTCTCTCTCTCTCTCTCTCTTTCTCTCTACTCTACTCTACTCTATACTTTATGTCTTTCCTGCTCTCTTTATCCATCTGTGACGTTGAGTCGGGTCCATATTTGATGTGTTCCTCCTTCTACATCTCCATTTCCCGACAGGTTGCGTCTGGCGATATGTTAGAGCCAGCGCCTCCTACACCCCCTATTTACCTCCCCTGTGCGACCCCAAGGATGGCCACTTGCTTGTGGATGGTTGCTATGTTAACAATGTCCCAGGTCAGATTTTAAAAAACCCGCTCACCAAAACATCCTCCTCTCATCCTTAAGTCGACAATCGACCACTCGGCGTCCCTCCTCCTCTTTCTTGTCCTCTCCCTCCCAAGTTCTCACTCGTAACTAACCCCACCCTGACCAGGTGGACACTGGGAGCCCATGGTTTGGAAGGAAAGACTAAATCCACTATACGTTTTTTGATTGAGCCAAGCAGTGCCTCATCTTATACTGGCCAATATTACATTAACTCCAATTGGCTTTTTCGATTCACCCACACAGCACATGTTCTACTGTTGGCTTTGCACAACCTCTAAATATAACTGCTGAGATTTAGACTTTTAGACTTTCTTAGTAAGTTTGAGGTTTTGCCCATGCATGTCTGGACATCTATGGGACATAGAGAGATGCATGATGGTCCGGATTCTTCTGGCCCCCTAAGTAGATTTGCTAAACTTTTGAACCTTCTCTTTAATTACCATCAAGTTCTGGATGAGGCTTGTATTCACTATTTGTAATGACCTTACGTGGCATTATAATGATCAAACTGATCGTTTGAATATCAATTAATCATGCGTGTTACCTTCTATTCTTTGCCTCGACTTTGAAATTAATTAAATGGGGGGTTATGGACAGTGTTAGCCCAAATATCTGTTTGCATGCCCCCATTGGCTTTAATTCACCTTACTTTTCTCAGTTTACTGTTAAGGCATGCCAAATGAAGGTTTCCTTCATGAATTAAACGTCACGGGGGCTAAGTCATTGATGAACAAATGGTCATTTAGCGGGTGACATACCGTTTTAAGTGGTATGGATTGAGCTGGATTTTCCTTGTGAGATTAAGGACCCGGCAGTATTGTGTACTTCGATTAAAGGAAATCTAGTAGCGTTGCAGGAGACACTTAGTGGAGATAGTGATCGGCTGCACCATGTCAACATCGCATCTGTCTGTCGGTCAGGATCATTGTGCGTTTCATTGGGCCTAATGCAGCTTGTTTTCCTTGTATTCTATAAGACGGTTGAATTGCTACTGTTTCATTTCAATCACTTCTACCTACAAAAACATGCCAAGCCTCCCCTACATGTACAGCACCTGTCCTCTCCCCTAGCTTTGCTTGCTTCTATGTGCATGCCAGTGTTGCGCACTGTGAGCCATATGTTTCTTTATATATTGATGGCATGGATTCATTATTAATTTTTCTATAGATTTTTTATCATTATTTAGGATTATGTGTTCTGGATCCTGCTGTTGCCCTTTGTACATCATGTACAAAATACATAAAGCTGTAGGTTTTAGTGAATCCCCTCAAGTCATATTTCAGTAAATGGATTCTTCTTCAGCATTTACATATACTTCAAGCATAGATGCACCCCAACGCTTCTCTCTGTGGTGCTCCCTATCCTTCCAACCCATGCAGCACCCTTCCTGCTCCTGCCCCCTGCTGGCACTGAGCTGGACTGCAGGACTGGGCAGGCTGGGTGCTTCCCTGCCATGTTCACGGTGAAGAATCTCCAAATATTGTCACAGCATCTGCCGCTGCTCATTTTCTCACATCTAAGCAATTAATACATTATTCTTTAATTCTTCTCAATCAATATCATGATTGGTTTCATCTTACATTTTTATACAATTTTGCTTTAGAAAGAAGCCTATAATATGGCCCCATGCCCTAAAGCACTGTTGTTGTTGGGACACTGTTTGGAGATTCAACCAGCCTTGGTGCTCTGTGATGGTTGCCATTTACTTTTTTACCTTTACGCACAAGTCACACAGGGTCTCTGTGCAAGGTAATGAGGTTTGAGGTGGTTTACTACAGAGTGTAAAGGTGGGCAGAACTACAGTCCTAGCCTTTGCAGGGATCGGCTACCTTCTTTGTCCGACCTCCCTCTTATGTTGGGATTGTGGTCTGTGTCGACACTAACCTGAAACGTATAGCAAACATTATTGAGATGTTATCGACCTCCCCTTCCTCCTCCCCTTCCTGGTGTGTCAGGCTCTCTGTGGCGCTATGTGCGGGCGAGCATGACCCTCTCGGGGTACCTGCCGCCTCTCTGCGACCCCAAAGACGGCAACTTGCTAATGGACGGTGGCTACATCAACAACCTGCCAGGCAAGTAGAGGTGGTACCCCCTCTCACCCTAGAAAACAATCCACAATGTCCCCCAGAGGAGAGGGGAGATGGAGTGAGGGACGGGGATGATTATTATGAGTCATTTTAATCAGTTTTTTTGTAGGCTAAGGTAAGTATGTAAATTTGAGGTTTTCTTAATGCGAATGAATGGAAGTCAAGTTGTAGTGGAGTGTGCTGAGTTTTCCCTGTCGGAATATGGAGCCAGTTCAAACCATCAAATGAGACAAATTGTATCCACATATTTGTGTTTAGTAAGGAAACGATTTCTATCAGACCCTGACATTTTCTTTGTATTACAAGATGGGGAGAATTCAGCATTTAAACTTGTGATGAGGCTGGATTTGAATGTAAATGAGGACAAGGTCACACTTAAACACTTTGTTATTCAAGCAATACCACATTGAAAAGGGGAATGTGTTATTAGCCTGTCAAACAGCCCGGTGTCAGAAAGGCGTCAAATAAAAAATGCTTAGAGGGGTTACCAACTGTATCAAATTGGAAGGGAAAAGCAGATTAGCAGTTCTTCACATTAAGACCATAGTGTGATTTTGCTATAATTATGCCATACGACACCAGTCTGCTTTGATATTAAAGTCAGGTTCCCCTCATGTCAAAATGAGCACTTGTCTGTAGAGCTGGGCAATATTTCACCTTGAGCTGAATCATACTGTGGTGATATGATCATATCATGTTATCATTAGGATGTGCAAATGAATGATTTCAAGCAAATTGTAATTTTAAAAACAACAAAAGGAGTTATTGAAGTTCTTGTTTATCACTTATGAGGAGTTTGGATTCATGTAATTCATGAGTTCTGCTTGAACCTCAGTAAGATGTGTTCTATGGTTAAGATTGATATCAGAAAAATATCCTTCCTAATATTCTGTTAATAAAACAATATTGCCCAGCCATACAATTTGTGTTCATTAATACACAAATTACTTTGGTGTACAAATGATAACTCCCCTTGAGTCGGTCTCTGTGTCGCTATGGTAAAGAACATATTCTGTCTAGAAACAGCAGGGCCATGTTTCACAGTGCTCTGGACTGAGCTGATGTAATTCTCTCTCCGCTCGTTCTTGAGGTCTGTGAAAAGTGAGGCTTTGCTTTTTGGGTCCAAAGATTGATTTAACTCAAGGCTCTTTAAAAATCAACATTGTTTATTTCTGACTCTTGTTTCTCTGCCTGCTCTCTAGGGAGTTTGTGCTCAATCAGCTGCATTTTCTAGTTGTTCTTGGCACTATGGATCAGTGCGTTGGGCTTATGGGACGTCTTCCTGTTTTTCTGTCTTAGAATAGGCTCAACACCACAAAAATGCTCGCTGTCCCAACGCTCGTTTTAACACTAGAAAGTCAATGAGAAAGGCAATGACCTCCGGCATTGTGCCCATTGGCCAGGGAAGTCTAGATTTTCCACTTTCAAAGTTGCAGTGTTTCCTGTCCCTAATTGGCTATAAATCCTCTGCAGTGTATCTGACCACTGAAACATTTTTGTGGTGTAAGTCTGTTCAAACATTGTGCTGCTAAAATTAATGTTTAATGAAATAAATATATATATATATATATAATAACACAGGATCCGTTGTTTTACCATTTCTGCTGCTGGATTTTGCCGTGCTGTGTTTGTGCGTCTGTGTGTGAATGCTGGTGGTTGCTACACGTTCAACAGCGGACATTGCGAGGAACATGGGTGCCAGAACAGTTATTGCCATCGATGTAGGTAGCCAAGATGAGACCGACCTCTGTAACTATGGAGACAGCCTGTCTGGCTGGTGGTTGCTTTGGAAACGGATCAATCCCTGGGCAGAGAAAGTGAAGGTACAGTTAGAAGCCCAAGGTTCTGGCTACTATTGGTGACTCAGCATCTTATAAATACTGAGTAGTGCATTTTTTTTTTTTTTTTTTTTAAATAAATATGTAGAAGAGGGGATCTGCTCTGTCTGCAGATTGCGAAATACATGTGTTTGTGTTAGTGTTAATTTCTGGTTCTTACACTGTTCCTTCCCCAGGTCCCCGACATGGCAGAGATCCAGTCTCGGCTGGCTTACGTCTCTTGTGTGCGGCAGTTAGAGGTTGTAAAGAAGAGCGCCTACTGCGAGTACATCAGACCGCCCATCGACCGCTTCAAGACCATGGACTTCGGCAAGTTTGACGAGATTTATGTAAGTAACTTTATAAATAATGCCTGTTTTTACCATCTACTTGGACACAAGGATGGTTCAATTACATTTTGGTGGTCAAAGGTCATGGTCACTTTAATCATTAGGCATTTTATGTGGTTCCCACTGCCACATCCTAAACACAATACCCAGCCAATTACCCACATTGAAGGCAAGTTAGCCAAAGAGCCAGGGAAGTAGCAGGAAATGTGCTTTAACTCCGTAACTCTCTCTATTTTAGCTATGAACACTAGCTGTGCCTCTGTTACACCTCTGATTGCACATCACACAATGATTCACTGCAGCACGTACAAAATACAGTTTTGAAGATATATGTTCTTCTGAAGTATAGATCATTGCCGCAACTAGCAGCACATTTTAACATGAATGAAATGTTGCCAAATAAACAAAAAATAATTAAGAAATAAAGTTGCTATATTGAAAGTACCTTTTTTATTTCTGTTTTAAAATACTTCAGGATGTGGGCTTCCAGCATGGCAAGTTGCTGTTTACTGGTTGGGCCCGAGGCGACATTATCGAGAACATGCTGAAGGACCACCGCTCAGCCGACTACAATGACAGCAAGAGAACTGACGTGAGAGCACACACAGACACACAATTTGCATTTTTTTTTTAAAGTTTACTAATATTGAATTATAAATATGGTTCATGTATTACTACATACACATATAATGATGGTTTTTTTTGGTCCTTAGTCCTGCACATGTCCAGCAGCTGACTTCACTGACCTTGCAGAGATTGTATCCAGGATAGAGCCGGTTCAAAGCTACGTGGCTACAGAAGGTACGACAACGTGCCAGTTTCTTCATTAACATTATCTAATAATATTTCCTGTTAAGAATGGTTTAAAATATTTAAACACAGCTTGCACGCAAAAAAGGTTTATGCTGCAGTCTCCTATAAAGGAACGATTAACCTTCAAGATCAGGTTCAATATAATCCTTGTAATGAATCAGGGGTCATCGCTTTTTCCGGTCTGTTTGATTGAAATACAGCAGGAGATGGCCCTTATATTTTATGGGTAAAGGCCTGTCACGATAAATAATTTTGTTGGACGATAAATGTTCCTGGAAATTATTGCGATAAACGATAATATTGTCGGCACCATTGTAAGACCATTTTAGACCACTGACATAATGATAATATATAATAATAATTCTAGTACATCCTTTCAAACAGAACTTTTTATTGAACATT